CGATGGCCTCGACGACCTCGCGTCCGACTGCCGCGAGACTGACAGAGGAACCCACCTCATGGTGCACGACCCAGCGTCCGATGTTTGCCAGGTTTGACGAGATAGCGTTGGCCGCAGACTCTTGAGCAGCGGCGACCTGCCGGCTTGCCTCGCTCTCTATGGCTTCGAGCTCGGAGCGGAGCCTGACGAGCTCGTCGCCTTTCTGCTTGTCCTTGTAGACGGTGCGCGCATGCTCTCTTTCGCTTTCCTCGAGCCTTGTGTCGGCGTGTTTCAGGTCAAGCTCGAGCTGGTCGGCCGTGGCGGCGAGATTGTCGTGGGCTGCTCCGAGGTTGTTGTCCATTGTGTCAGGCTGGTTTTTGGCGGTGTTAAACTCATTGTAGCTCTTTAAATTCACGAGGCAGCTTCATGTTTGCAGTTTGCAGTGGTGCACAAGCAGCCGAGACAGGCAGCAACGACCGTTTGCACCTCACGATGGGGTCACATCGGGTTCACAGCGGGTTCACCTCACCATTTTCGGCATCTTTCTGCGCTCGAGCAGTATTCGCGCATTGAAAACATCCCCCAAGAGACGGCCGACATGCCAGACGAGCGCGCAGAGCTCCGAGGCCACATCGAGACTCGTGCTGGTGATGTCGCAGCGCCGGACAGACGTGTACAGCAGCATGTAACGCTGAGCATGCGCGACGGTGCTGGCCATCGTGTCGGACGTGCGGAGTGTTGCGGACTTGCACTCTTGGGTGCTGACTGATGCCGCCGCCACGTCACTGACGCCACCACCGGTCGAAAAAGAGTTTTGACGGAGTCTCGGCGCCCGGGACGCCCCTGTCGAGCCCAGCCCAAACGGCCGCACTCGAGCACGTCACACCCCCACGCCTGGCTTTGTCAGCGCCCAGGCTATTAATTACACCGCGGTGTAGAAACCCACCCACCACATGATGATGCTGTCTCGGCGATCGCTCGGGCTCGGGATGCGGTGCATCATGACAAAGCCGGACCGCGGCAGGCCGAGTCAGAGCACCGTATAAAGACAGGCCGAGCCCCGCCGTATGTAGACGATGCCCGCCAGACACGACTGCAGCAGACACTTCCTCCCATCATTCTCCCGCTTCACAGTCCACAGCCGCACCCCGCCCTCCATCATGGGTTCCGTCGCCAACCCGGCCTCGAGCCGCCTCTTCAAGCCCATCAAGATCGGCAACGCACAGCTCCAGCACCGCGTCGTGCTCGCGCCCCTTACAAGAGTCCGCAACACCGACGACCACACGCCCGTCCCTGCGCTGGCCCAGCAGTACTACGCGGACCGCGCCTCCGTGCCCGGCACCCTCGTCATCTCCGAGGCCACCTCCATCTCCCACGACGAGGAGGGCCAGGCCAATATCCCCGGCTTCGTGTCGGACGAGCAGGTCGCCGCCTGGAAGCAGGTCATCGACGCCGTCCACAGCAAGGGCTCCGTCTGGTTCCAGCAGCTCTGGGGACTCGGCCGCGCCGCCACCCCCGACTTCGTTGCTAGCAAGGGCATCAAGTACCGCTCTGCCAGTGCTGTGCCGACGCCGGGCTCCGACGTGGTCCCCGCCGAGATGACCGAGGCCGAGATCCTCGACACCATCCAGGCCTTTGTCGACACAGCAAAGCGCGTGCGCGCCGCCGGCGGCGACGGCGTCGAGATCCACGGCGCCCACGGCTACCTGCTCGACCAGTTCCTGTCCGATGCCGTCAATAAGCGCACCGATAAGTGGGGCGGCTCCGTCGAAAAACGGACGCGGCTGTACGTCGAGGTCATCAAGGCCGTCTCGGACGCCATCGGGCCAGAGCACGTCGGCATCCGCCTGTCGCCCTTTGCCAGCTTCCAGGGCACCGCAAAGTCGGACCCCATCGAGCAGTTCACGCACCTCATGCGCGCGCTCAAGGAGCTGAACCTGCCGCTCGCCTACATCTCGCTCGTCGAGCCGCGCGGCGACCCGGCCGTCCTGTTCATGGGCGCCGACCAGCCGCACGCGGCCAAGACGCTCGACTTCATCCTCGAAATCTGGGACAACCAGTCCCCCGTGCTCGTCGGCGGCGGGTACGACCCCGAATCGGCCGTCAAGGCCGTCGACGGGCACTACGCAAAGTGGGACGTCCTCATCGTCTTTGGCCGCCACTTCCTCGCCAACCCGGACATGCCCTTCCGCATCCGCCACGGGCTGCCGCTCAACGAGTACAACCGCAACACGTTCTACTCAAAGGGCCCCGTTGGGTACAATGACTACCCCTTCAGCGACGAGTTCCTGGCAGCGAAAGATAAAAGCGTTTCTGTTTAGGTGGACTTCAGCGATTATGTCTGTGAGCGATAGAAACTATATACAAATTAGATGTTAGAATTCATAAAACCAAAAGAGTTTTTTACTGTCCAACTACTAAAGTAGCTCCATTAGCATGCGATTTACCTCCGCTTTGGAAGGGGCGTGTGTAAGGCGGCGCTGCTGTGCACGCAATATTACCCACGTGGAGTCTCTGCGCTCCTCACATGAGGAGATAGTTCGAGTCACACAGAGTGGTGTTTGCCCAGTACGTTGCCTACACAAATGCAGCGTTGGGGACGCGGGTATGTGGCACCGGGTGGGTTCTCTCGGTACTTCCATGCTTTTTATTTGAGAGTTTGCGGCTTATGGATATTACTCGGCCTGGAATTGTCCGTTTTTTTTCTCTCTTTTCTTATCTCACCGCCGTCGCGACTGCCTTGCGACGCGTTCCATGACACTCGGTTCACGCTTTGACACTTGCCAACAGCCAATCATCCCAGGCGATTCCTGCTGCTGAGATTTGTGTGAATGCCAAGTTCCGAAAAACGGAATCAGATAAAAACGCTACCTACTGCCATCTTCGTTCTGTCTAGTTCCCTCACCAACATGCTCCATCTCATGTGTCACCTCGTCCTACACCCAAGCCACATGGCCAGCTCACTGGATCTGCCCTCTCCTCCTTTATCAAAGCATCAAAAAGCCTACACTACTTACTCCACCTTGCGATAATCAATCTTCCTCGCGAGCCAGCACCCAATCGTGAACCCAGTCACCCTCCCGCCTTCGCCGTCAAACACGAGCGTCCAGTCTCCCGGCGGCGCGCAGTCGATGCCCCGCGGGCACGCGAGCACCCAGACGTTTTCACCCAGCGGCCTCATGATATGCGCGGGCCCTTTGCCCATGAACCCTTCAAACACGCCGTACAGGATCGCGCCCTGGCCCGTGATGCGCAGGTCAGACCCGAGCGTCTCGCACCGGTACCGGCCCTGGATCTGCGACTGCAACGGCTGCTGCTGCTGCCCTTCGCCGACGATCGTGCCCAGCGCGGGGGCAGCCCTGATCCTCTGCCCGACGAGCACCCGGTTGTCCACGACCCGGTGCACGCGCAGGATGTCGCCGTCAATCTCGGCGCGCGTGCCTGGTGACTCGGCCACGGTGCTGCTCCGCAGCGGGATCGTCTCGGTTGCCGAAAGGTATGTGATCTTGACTTTCCCCTTGCCCTGCTCGCCGAGCTCGATGCCAACCCGCAGCTTCGTCGCCTCGTCGAGGAACTCCCCCGCCCAGCCTGGGTGCGGCGGCTGGCCCACGAACCCGGGCTTGTCCGGGGCGTCGTCGGGTAGTCCGAGCACCTTCTTGAGCACAAAGTCGGCGGCCTCCTTGCTGCTGGCCTCGTGGTTGAAGAGCACTATGACCGACAGCTTCTCGGCGGTCGCGTGGCTGCGCATGAGGCGGAACCCGCGCAGCGCGCCGCCGTGGCCGACAATGTCGACCTTGTCCTGGATGCGGCCGTGGGCCAGGCCCATGCGGTACTTTGCGGGTGTCGCCTTGCCGTCGGCAAAGACGTGCGGCGCCGCGGCGGCGCGGTACCAGTTGTCTTCTTTTTGATCACACAGCTCGTGCAGGTGCCTCTCGTACGCGACCATGTCGTCGAGCGAGGCCACGATGCCCGCGTCGCCGGACCAGTCGATGCCGTTGACGGCAGGGATGTAGCCGCGCTTCTCGTCGCCCTCATAGCCGACGCAAGGGGGCGGGGGCTGCTGGTCCGACGGCAGGGCTGCCGTCTTCATGCCCGCGGGCTGGAAAATGTACTGCGCGACGAGGTCGGCGAAGGACTTGCCCGTTGCCTCCTCGAGCAGGCGGGCGACAAGGTAGAAGTTGAGGTTCGAGTAGGCGTACTCGGTGCCGGGCTCAAAGTGCAGGCTCTGGAGCAGCATCTGGCGCAGCCGGGGCGCCATGGCGGCCATGTCGAACTTGTCCTCGGGCTTCGCACCGCAGAGCACCGTGGCGGCCCAGTAGTCGCGCACGCCCGACTGGTTGTCGCACAGGTGGGCGACGGTGAGGCGCGTCTTGTCGTCGGCCTGGCGGGCGCGCAGGTCCGGGCCGAGCCACGAGTCGAGGAGGGCCTGCATCTTGGCGCGGACCGAATCGTCGTCCTGCTCGGCCATGTACAGCGTGCCGCAGGTCAGGTGCTTGGTGATGCTGCAGATGGGCAAGATCGTCTGGGCCGTCATGGGCACGGCGTCGTCGAGCTGCGCAAAGCCCCAGACGTGCTGGCCGGCCAGCTGGCCGTCGCGCACCACGGCGAGGCAGCCGCCGGGACCGCGGAATTTGTCGGCCGCGGCCTGCAGGATTTGTTCGATGTTGGCTGTCATGGCGGCGTTGTGGAGGAGGTCGAGGTTGATGGACGACAGCTGAGGTGGGGTGAAGGCGGGGATGTCGCGTATCACGGCCTGGGTAGACGCGGCTCCCGCTGGCATGGCAGCAGCGAGCAGGCAGCAACATCCGTCTTTGTTGTTTTGCACTTCTCGAACATGGCGGAGGAATTGCTTGTAGAAAAGAAACGAGAGCAGCCGTCGACACAATATGGAACCAAAACCGGAAGCGGTCTCCCTCTCTACGAGTCATGATCAACTCTCCGACGAAACAACCACCATCTTGTCGACACAACCTCATCTCTCACTGCACTCACAGTCACGCAACAGAAGAGCAAAAAAGGATTGCCCCCGCGCCGGATTGAACGACGGACCTTTGCATTATCTGTATCTTCGTTTCATGCATACAAGTGCAATGCTCTACCACTGAGCCACAGGGGCCGACCAAGTTTCATGGTATCCGTGGGCACGTATTAGGTCCTATGGAGTCGGCTTGAATGTTGTGAGACAGATCCACGGCGATATTCAAGCGAGTATTGACACATCGGGGCCATATTATCATCCTGCGTATCGTTATTCATGTACATAGATTATCTAAATATCTCTTCCCGTTCATTCTTTCCCCGAGACACAATCTCAGTCGCAGCGCCCAAACAGCGGCTGGCACCCGGCCGCGCAGTACTCGGACGTGACGCCACAGTAGTTGTACTGGCTGCAGCATTGGCCGGTTGGGCACTGGTACTGCTCCGCCCGCCCACAGGCGCCGTCGGGCCCGAGCACGGGCGGCTGGGTAGGCGGCTGGGCCGGCGGCGGAGGCAAGGCCGGCGTGGAGCCGGGAGCCGTGGTGTACCAGTTCTCCTTTGGGTCGCCGAGACACTCTCCGACCGTGACGGCTGTAGCAGGAATGGTCAGCATGACTTTTCAAAGTGGAAGAAAAGAAAATAGAGTGTCAAGTTTAATTACCTCTGAGTCCCCTCTCCCGGACAATCGCAATGATGGCCGGCAGCACGTTGTCCACCGTCGTCGGGTGCACGTCGTGCATGAGCGTGATGGAGCCGCCCGCGTCGAGCAGCCTGCGGAAGTTGGCGACCGCGTTCGGCCACGTCTCGGGCGTCACGTTTTCCCAGTCCCGCGTGTCGAGGTCGCTCGAGATGACGTGGTAGCCGAGCGAGCCCAGGGTGGCCAGGACCTCGTCGTTCCAGGCGAGATAAGGGGGCCGCATGTACGTCGGGTATTTTCCTAGGTGCGGCGGCGGTGGCATTAGTAGGTAAAAGAGGAGAAGAGAGGCAAGGGCGCGTATGACATACCGATCATGCGCATAAGCGTCTCCTCCATAAGAGTCATCTCAGTCCTCATTGCTGCGGCGCTGAGGTCCGTGAGGCGGGGATGTGACCAGCTGTTTCGGTGCTTTGTTAGTTTGCCTGGCGTCTCGAGATACTCTTTCCCCTGGGATAGAACTCACGTGTGTGAAGCCAGCTGGTGGCCCTCGGCCAGCATGCGCTGGACCTCGGCAGTGTTATCTTCGATAGGATTCTACACGATGGTCAGCGTCAACGGCTTACACTCGCCACGGAACAGGACACCCACATAGCTCGGTCCGTTGACAAAGAAAGTGCCCGCCATGTTGGCCTGCTTGAGCAGATCCAGCACCTTGGCCGTGTATATGTAAGGCCCATCGTCAAAGGTGAGGGCTATCGTCCCCGGGACGGTGCAGCTCGTGATTGGGACGCCTATTGGTACGGAACGAGAAGTTAATGTCTGATACTTGGGGTTCAGGGGGGACGCGGCAGCACGGCCGAGGAGCAGTGCTGCACTCGAGAGAAGCATTTGGTTAGCCAGCATTTTGTTGGACAGCAGAGAACAAATTAGATGTGGTCTAGGAAGTATACAGGGTTGCAAGCACGGCAACAAGACGCACACAGAGCCGCCACGTTATATACCCTGTCATACCGCCTGATCGTACCCTTGAGCGGGACACTTCTTCGTCATTCGCCACCCCAGCAACGAGGCGTCAATGAGGCCTGCACATCTGCAAGGATGCGGATCTGGCGCATGTGCTGACGGCGCCTCACTCGTATTCAAGTATTGTTGGCTGGGCAACTAGAGAGGAGGCGCACAACTATCTGTGGGAACTAAGCCGACTATTGATCGTGGCTCCCTGCAACTGGCCAATCACGAGTTAGTGCGAGCGATCTCAATGCTTGTCTAGCCGACAGAACCCCAAGAAGTTCGTACTGATAGTTTCGATCTGGGGAGCACCGGCGCAGCTTAGAGTTTGCGGCGGCAGTTCTGGGCCGCCCCCGCACGAGGGATACCCACTGCGGCTTACTCGCGGCAGCGTCCGTAACCGAGGCAATCGATTCAGTGCAGACCGGATGTCCATCGTACGTTTGATTCCCGCGGATGTGAGACACGGGCTTACGCATGGCCGAGCCGCATTGCCGTCACACAATATATCAGGCCGTTTGACCTTTGATAAGGACTGTGATTTCAAACTCGATTTTTACGAAAGTGCTCAGTTCCCAGTCCGGAGACATCAGGCCAGGCATGATCTTGCGCAGCATAGCCAGGCAAGCACATCCGGGTCGTTGAGGCATATACTGTGCAAGCCGAGTGCGGAGACTGTGCCGCCTGCTCAGTCACGTGGCCCATTCCGTCCATGCTATTCGTCTGTTTCGCGGGTTCGGCTCGAATCCTTCTTTTTGTCGGCAAGGACATGTGATCTTAGAGACGACTTAGAACCGACTGTTCTCTGTTGTCCCTAGGACATCGACAGCTTCACCCGGGGCCCGAACAAGGCGTCTTGCACCTGGCAATGTAGAACCACTGATGCAAACATTGTTGTGCCAGACTGCTAAATTGTATCACTTCGGTTGTTTCTCCATGTCAAACAGGCACTTGGTACTGCCGATACTTGGTTTACAAAGAACATGCCGTCAAACGAGGAAGCCATCCATACCTAGTTTGTTGCGAGGTGCCTTGTTGTTCTCCTGGTTGCCCGGGGAAACTGCTCGATGACCGAGGCTTACGGGCCCGGTTCAGTCTTTGACGTCTAAATCAAGCTAGTCGCTATTCTAGGCGAGGCCAATTTCATGCGGCTCGTGTCTTAGCATACATATGTTCGTATATTAAAGGTGCACTGCGCGTGCGTTCAAAATGACAAGAACTATTACGTCGTCATGAATTTAGCACCACGCGGGAATTCTACAAGGGACTTGCCAACGACTTGGACTAGGATCTTCGATATACGGGTCTGTCCTATGGCGCGAGGGAATTGTTCAATTTTTATCGTCAGGGAAGTGATCAGCTCGGTGTTAAACACATGGCGATTTGAGCAGCCCGAACATCATGGTCGATGGCGAGGTGGTTAGTATTTTTGATTGGGAGACATGAGGGTGGTTCCCCCCATGCTGGGAGCGCACTATTGCAAAGCATGTCAATCTTGAGTTTGGGCGCCAGCGACGTACAAGTTCCTGGAACCCATGCCTCATGAACTGCAGATGGAAATGGTCAGAAGGAAGTTATTTCGGTATCTTCGAGTCTTCATATGATCGATTTGTAAGCTATGCTAGCTGGATGGAAGATTTCGCGGCGAACCACGCCTAGAGCCATTTTCACACCACAAGCCTTGAAGAGAATAAAGCTTGGGAGATTTTGTAGCAGATTTTTGACCTCGTTGTCCATGCCAAACAGCACGGGTACTGGATCCGAGCCTGGATCCAGCGAGAAGTCGCCCGCGGAGGCCAGGTCATCTTGTGGCACGGCAAGACGCTGTCACCACTGATCGACTGGTTCGTCATCATGGAGTGGCTCGTGGCAGCCACTAGGTGTCTCGCGGCGCCTTTAACTTTGCAACGTCGCGCAGAAAGGTCAGCAGCGGCGGCAGCCGTGACTAAGCCGTCGTCAAAGCGAGGAAGCTCAAGACCTCTAACCCCCCGCGACAAGATACATGCGATGCAGGGGCTTTCCTTGATGGACCACACACACCCTGGATTTACCCTGTCCATTGAGCAGGTATACGCTAACTTGTCATTCTTGGTCTGGGCGGGCTCGTTCCACAAGAAAACCCACGCGGGCCAGCAGGCGGAAATCCAGACATTCGCCCAGAAGTTCCAGTCTCGCGGGCTGTTGCTGCCACACCTGACCACCAATGACGTCGACTCGAGCCGTGTCAGTCTCTAGGATATTCCAGCATCGCCTAACTCCGGCGCTGCTTCCTCGACGAAACCAACGGGCTTGGTGAACTCCTGGCGAGGTGGCTGGTGCAATGCAGAGATTGCGAATAGCATGAGATTGCTCTAATCAGGTCTCGTTTGTAGCAAGGTGGAAGAGGCGCATGAGCCACTCGTTCGCACAGAGCACCTTGATCAGACCGCCGTGGCCGAGATGCGTGTAGCCGAGGGCGAAATGGAGAGCTTTAGTACACAGATGGGTCGCCTTCGCACTGGTTGAGCTCATGACCAGTAGAATATTCTTGGGTCTCGATACCACCAGGCTGCAACGATCATCGGAGCGAGACAAGATCACACTGGACCTCCAGGGGCGAACCAAAGTCCTTGAGTCATCGACTAGCTCAGGCCGAATCTTAACCCGTCTTCCCACGTGGCAGTCGCGACTGATTCGGCACCTATTTCATCGTTGTTGGGCCCAATGAAACGCCGTGTGGGAGAACCGGATGAAAAGATTGTCGTCCTGTCGGCTTGCAGCCATTCAAGTAGTGGTGGTGTGGCACAAATGCAGAGGGACAAGCGAGCGACATGGGAGCGGCACAACTCCATGCTTCAGGTCATCCATTTCTGACCTAGTCGATCTTACGAGACTTTCTTACGACTTGACAACGGTTCTGCAACATGCCTTTAAACTCAAAAACGTGCTGGAAAGACCCGAGGATCCCAGTCATCTTCACTGGACGGCTGCACGGATCATGTGCTGATCACCATCTCCCTTCCCCAGACCGCTGCCACGACTTTAGCCTAAAGCCGAGGCGCAACCCCATTGGTGGCCCGCAAGCATGACGACTGCTTACCGTTACACGACAGCAATCATCCTAGCCAGTCTCGAGCTCCTCGCCGTATCCCCAAACGCTGGCAAACAGCCTGTCGTGGCCTGTCTGGCTCGTCTTGCCGGGTAATAGACTGTACCCCCTGTCCGACTCTCCACGGCTGCGAGCTCAGCGGTCAGGAAGGTTGGTCTCCGGGCTCGCTCCGCGCAAGAGGCTGCCGGGACCGCCGACTGATTGGCGCGGAAGAATTACAACTGGCCGAGGCGCCGCCTGAATCTAAAATCCGGGGAAGGGAGCGAGCCAAGGCCCCTCGGCCGTGGCGTGCGGCAGACAGGGTGTCAGCACGTCGCCCGTTGCTTGGCGGAGGAATGCTTGGATATCAATAAGCTCGTGCCCGCCCACCTTGGCACCGGCTGGGGATTTGAACTGGACTTGTTCA